TTCCCTTTGGAAAGAACCATGCTGCACTGCTTGGAAGGAACTTCTTGGTGCAGACTTCTTGCTGTTTGATGAATTCCCGCGGGACTCCTTGCTGCCGTTGAATACAACACACCACCTGCAGTTCTTGGGAGTGGAATGTTGAAGCTGTTGGAAGAAGCACAGAGTTCCTCTGCCAAACCCCTTGTTGTCGAATTGCACCTGGAGTACCGAAAGAAATGATGGACTTCGGTTCTTGGCAGCAGAATATCAAACTCCTTGCCATAGTCGAGGGAAAATGGATTGTAGAATTCCTTCCTTGTTGTAGTCGATGGAATGGAATTCCTGGACTACCTCAGCCAAGGACCTTGACTGTCAAATCCTGTTTTATAATGGCTACTGTTGCCAATAAATGAAAACAAAGCAAGCAATACAAGGGGAAAACATGAAGAAATAATGTAAGAAATGAAATGCAAGAACACAACCAATTATGTGGTTCGGTCCATAGACCTACATCTACGGGAGGGAATCACCAACAAATGCACTAAGACAAAAAAAAATTACATGTTTTTTACATCAAGGAATGAACACTTCCTAGATCTCTCTATCTCGAAACTACCTCAATACAGGATCTAAGACTCCTCCCTCAATTCTTGAAGGCTCTTCCCTCCTTCTTCTTCTTGGACTGATTTCCTTCCCCTTTTTGGTCTGATTTCTATCTTCCTCCTTGTAGCGGACTCTCCCCCCTACAAGTCTATCTTCTTCCCTTATATTAGCCTCACCCCCTCTACAAGTCTTTCTTCTTCCCTTGTAGCCTTACCGCCTCTACAAGCCTATCTTCTTCCCTTGTAGTCTTTTCCCCCCTACAAGCCTATCTTCTTCCCTTATGTAGCCTCTCGATGTCAAATTTGGCGGTTGCCATTATTGTGGCTGAAATTCCCATAGACGGTGCCAATTGCTTTTAATTAATCAATTGAGACTCATATATAACAATTATCCATCTTGAATCTCAATTACAAAGCTTCATAATAGAGATTCCCTCCACCTTGCCCCGAGGGGCCCTTAGCCCTTGGTTGAGTCTACTAAGTCCAGACAGTTCCTGAACTTAGCAATCACAATTTTTTCAATTAGAGAATATTGTCTCTTTTTTCCTTACTCCTTTCACGACGATACGAGAACCTTTAGTTACTCTGATATGGTCATTTTCCGCCTTAAAATAGTATCTGCTTGTCTCCGACATACCTAAAGAAATCAAATTTCTTTTGAGCTCTCGTACGTACCTGACATGTTGCAATATTCTTTCGGCTCCATCGAATATCTTTATTCTGATTGTTCCATGAATCTTTATTGTCCGAACTTTCTTTAATAGTAAGAATTTCTCCGCTGATTTCTTTGTCCATCTCAAGTTTTCTTTGGAGTTCTTTGGCTCTAATCAGCGCTCGAATCGTCGTCTCCCTCGAAACTTCTCTCAAAACTTTATCGCCAAGGCTCAAGATTATCAAACTATGAGTCCCGTTCTTTTCTTTCTCGGTCATGTCAGCCGGCAATGCCGTCGGGCTTTGCAAGGCTTCTACAACGCCTTGCTGCACCAACAAAACTTTCATCTTTACTCTTCACGGGCCGAAGTCGTTCTTCTCGGTGAATCTCTTGGACTGATTTCCTTCCCCTTCTTGGTCTTTTTGGTCTGATTTCTATCTTCCTTCTTGTAGTGGCCTCTCCCCCCTACAAGCCTATCTTCTTCTCTTGTAGTAGTCTCCTCACTCCACAAGCCTCCCTCATCTAGTTATGATGAGGCCTCCCAAGTAAACCATCAATTCTTGCTGTTTAATGGCTACTGTAGCCAAGAAATGAAAACACAACAAGCAATACAAAGGGAAAACCGGAATAAATAATTTAGGAAATGAAATGCAAGAACACAACCAATTATGTGGTTTGGTTCATAGACCTACATCCACGAGAGGGAATCACCAACAAATACACTAAGGCAAAAAAGAATTACAGACTTTTTACTAAAACAAAGAATGAACACTATATATATATATATATATATATATATATATAATTTTATTCTAAATAATCTACATTCATCTCATATGAAACATATTAAATTTATCTATTAATAAATAAATATATTATTACTAGAATCTAAAGGTCAAGTAATAATCTAATATATACATCTATACTAGAATATAAAAGTCGTGTCATAATCTGATATCTTTTTGTAACTATTTAGTCAATAAGTTTTAATATACATACTTCATGACTAATGATATGAAAAATTATATGCAGTTTAATTTTTCTGATATAAAACATAATAGTGAAAAATTGTAAGCATAAATATATTTAAAATTAACTATTCATAAATTTCATTGATATAAGACATATTTTTATAAAAATGAATAAAATAAATATAAAATATTATATTTATAATTTGAATAATTAAAATGTTATATTCATATTCTGACTCATATGTAAAAATATGAAAATTTTATATGTAATTTATGATGGCAACTGAATTTTTGGGCTTTCAAAGTCTATCTCCAGATTATTCTCTGCTGTGAATTGAACGGGGTGCATTTTCCTTCTATAAATATGGATGTTTTGCCGCAAGTTAACCATTCATCTTCCCAACTCAAGCAAATCCTTCTCCCAAGCCCGCCCCAATGGATGCGGAACTCCCCCTGCACACAGTTCTCATCCTCCCCACCATTCTCTGCATCTTCTTCCTCCTCTTCCTCCACCAGCGCCGCACCGGTCCAGGCGCACTCACCAACTGGCCCATCGTGGGCATGCTCCCAGGCCTTGCAGTCAACCTCCACCGCCTCCACGACCTCGCCACCGACATCCTCGGTAACGCCCCGCTGGCTGCACCTTCCTTTTCCTTGGCCCATGGTTCTCCAGCATGAAGTTGCTCGTTACGTGCGACCCTGCTAACGTCAACCATGTCTTCAACGTTAACTTCCACAACTACCCCAAAGGCCATAAATACTCAGAGAACTTCGATTTCCTAGGCGAAGGCATCTTAAACGCCGACGAGGAGTCGTGGAGCAGCCAGCGCAAGAAGGCTCAGATCCTCATCGCCCAACCCCGCTTTCGGGCCTTCGTCACACTCTGCAGCCGAGACAAAGTTGACAACTTTCTCCTTCCTCTGCTGCGGCAATTCAGCGAGCAAAAGATAATAATTGACCTGCAAGATGTCTTTTTGAGATTATCATTCGACATCACTTGTAGGCTCGTATTCGGCATCGACCCCGCCTCTCTTTCGCCAGATTTCCCCGTCGTGCCATTTGCCAAAGCAATTGACGACGCCATGACCACAATCCTGCACCGCCATGCCGTTCCGCCTGCATGGTGGAAGCTCATGAGGCGTCTTAAATTGGGAAGGGAGAAGAAGCTTGCCGAAGCTTGGGTTGTCATTGATGATTTTATAGCAGCGAGCATACAGAAGAGGAAGAAGGAGAGCAACCGCTCCGACTCCTTGAACGACAGTCTCCTCACGGCTTACATCAAAGACGACTCTTTGGCCGGCGACAAGTTCCTACGGGACCCGACATTGAGCTTTCTGATTGCAGGGCGGGACACCATCGGGGTGGCGCGTGCGTG